TTTGGGGGGGGGCGGTGTACTTTCGTCATCAACCAATATCTATTGAATAGCTAGTAAGTTCGATTTGGTATCGCTCAGTCGGGGGACTATGCATCATTCTATTCCACTTCAGAATTAATAAAACATAAAAACAAAATTCATTGTCACTACTCACACAAGGAAGGATACAAGTCACGTTTAATGCTTTGTAACATTCTTTCATTTAGTTCATTCAGATTCTTTACAAACTGAACAGGAGTAAGGCTTTTAGAAAACGATGCACACTTACTAAGTACTTATATGTTAAAATGCGAAGGATATCGAGAATTTTATGGAGACTAATCTACTACTGTCTACTTAAGTTATTTCCTTTTGGAAAATTGAAGCAAAACGTTCAGTAAAGCATAGTAAAAAACTTCCAAGGCATTATTCACAATCGAATATAGTTGTCACTCTCAAAAAACGACAGGTATAAATCTGTTACATTTTCTATTGTTTTGGATATAACTTCGGTTTTCTTGTAAAATAAGGGCAAAAAAACATCGGCGTACATTCGGACATGAATGTGTTATACTTGTACATAAGATTAAATTATTCTCTCTTCGATTCTGTTGCTTCCTTAGCAACACTCTGATCAAAGAAACATTCGAAGAAAAAAAGATACATCTATATCTATAGAACGAAAAAAATGGCGAAAGTGGACAAAAAGCAGGAATTTCCACGCAAAACCAGTTTTTCACTTATTTCTCAAAAGTAGGCTTTGTACCAAAAGCTGACTTCAGATTCGGACTCTACGCAAAATAACGTATCAGAATATCTATACCATTTCTTCCCAAACCACCCCGCTCCACCAAACGATCCGCTATTCTCCGATTGTGTATTTATATATCATCGGGAAAAAGACTAACAGAGCCCAAGAATGTTAAGAGATAAGGTAACACTGACTTCAAAAAAGCATAAAACCATGTTGAAAGGTTTCAGTCAAAGGAACACTTATGTGTATGAAACCGATTTCTTTTTAGATTGTTTTTACTTCCAACAGCCAATTTTCGACTGATTTTTTGAATAGGACACCTCAATAAGATATTCTTGCTTGCTACTCCAAATATTGTTTTTTCAATCTAAACATAAAATATAAATCATTTCTGATTCGCAGTGACATTAATCTTGTGTACCAGGACATATTGCTTTTAATGTTTCGTACAAAGCTGTTGTTAAATCGCGAATTTTATTTGTGTAAAACACGTGACGATCGCTTGATGACATTTGATTTAGTTCATCAACATTTGCGCCCTCTACTCCAACTGAATATATTTCAACATTCGCATTTTTTAATGTTCTTGCTGCGTCAAGGGTGGTCTGTTGCTTAGTCGATTGTCCATCGGTAAATACAACGACCACATTTCGAACCGATGGTCTATCACCATAGGCAACATTAAAGATATCTTGTTTCATCTTGATCAATCCACTACCTGTTTCTGTATCTGATAGTAGTAACGAAAAGGCACAATTAGTATGAAAATACTCCTTTCCAGTTTCTCTTACTGCCGGTAATTCGTGGTAATTTGCGAATCTCATCAGCTGTGATTGGATCACTGAAGTGTTTAACTATTTTAGGAATGGTTGCGAATATTACAATGCCAAACTTCATCACGACATCTTGTTGTTTTTGCATGACTTCAACAAACTCAGCTGCTGCATTTGCCACAACATCCCATTCTTCAATACTTGTACTTGAATCGAGCAGAAGGCCTATATCAATGTCACGGGTACATTCTATTTTCAAACAAAGATCAAAAGAGGAATTAATGACTATGATATAAATAAGAGATACTAACTTGGACATGACAGGCTGTTACAAACTTCAATTTCAGTTTCACTTCTATTCGTACATTTGTTACATGAAATGGGTGAACCGAGATAAGAACATGTCACTGTTCGTTGTTTTATGCCACCATCACACAGTTTACTACATGCTGTCCATTCGCTTGTTGCTGTTGCCGTACATTCAACTATGTATGACAAGTAGACGTGAGAGAAAAATCCCCTTTCAAGAACTCCTTACCTGTCCATTCACATCGTTTTTTGACATCATCCCAAACAAGAGATGGTGTTCCTGGATGTGTTGGAGCACAATCTTTACAATATGCAATTCCATTTGAACAATGAATATAACCGTGTCTGTTGTTCGGATTTGAATATTTTTCATGTGGATTATTTCTCGTATCCAGTGGTGGACATTTATAGGCGAGCGAGCATTGACCTGTCGCTCGAAGGCGATCTTCATTAGATGAAAGATGCTCACTCGTGCTCACTTCATAAACATGACCAAGAATTGTCAAATACAACAATGATAATAATTTCAACATTGTGAAGAAAATGCTTATTTCCTCGAATGATTTAGATATGAAACTGATCCCTTTTATATCTTTTTACCATATTAACCAGAACAATAGGGCAGCTGTCTGCATTCCCGTTGTTGTTAGGAAAGAAAAAAAAGCATTTTCTACGAAAAATGAGCATATACGTTTATCAAATTTATTTATTTGACTCTAAGTCGTTGTCTACGTTTCTTTAGCTTACATCTGCACTCAGACACCATTTTAAGAAAATATATTTTTTTAGCAGTCAGAATAATTTTTATTAAGATATTATGATATTCAACGACCTTTCAGTTACTCATGTAGCAATTGTCAGGAATAAGCACTTTGATTACTGTACACATTTTTTCTAGTTCATTGCCAGTGATTGAGCTATGATGAACAACAACGTATTTTATTAATAGAACCCAATAATATTAATACATGTCAAAAAAATTTCTTTTATGGTCAAGAATTTCTATTAGAAAATTCTTTCACAAATATTCAACGAATAGATGTCCAGTATGTTAATAACACAATAAAATAGTGAAACTTTTATTCGTTTTTCTTTCATCTTTACCGGATCGATCGAAGATTTCGTTGTTGGCATGGTACACTATGTATAAGTCCTTTACAATTAAGTGACTGTCAAAAAGATTGCCGATTTGGTGACGATGAGCTACAGTAGTCGATGTCAATATTAATCAGATCGCTTAAGTGTATTATTTCAAGCTTATAAGCAAAGTGCACTTGAATCTTTTTATATATTTAAAGTACTTGTCTTACTAATCGATGACGATAACAACAATACGGTTGTTACATGAACGGTTGAGTTATATATTCGTACAATTTTCATTTCAATTTAAAAAGTTAAACGTTTTCACATTTACTCACAACTTCTTCAATACCATAAAATTCAAAAGTCTTAAGAAAACTTACAATGAAATCAAACCATGAAACTAAGTGTTTGAAGATATTCATGGTCATCCCTGACATGAATCCAGTATAAAAAATTCAAAACGCTTTTGAGCCGCGAAAGGGTCTTATGCACGCTTTCTTTATTTAAAAGTCTAAAATATGTTTTCTTCATTAAGATATAGAGTCAAGAAAAGGTGATAGATGATAAAAAGGCCCTTGCACCTAAAGAAATGCATTTTTTCCAGAGGCAACAAACCAAATTGATAAACCCTATATACTAAATTGTATGACAAAAATCAAGATTAAAATCACCTTTTTACATGTTGAAATGACCATTTCAAATTGAGACGTTTCGTCTTTATTCTAAAGACATCATCAGTCAACTGATGCACAAAAAATAACTTCTAACATAGAAACAGACAATAAAACACGTGTAGAACATGTTCAACACGTGTTTTAACAATGTTCTACACGTGTTTTATTGTCTGTTTCTATGTTAGAAGTTATTTTTTGTGCATCAGTTGACTGATGATGTCTTTAGAATAAAGACGAAACGTCTCAATTTGAAATGGTCATTTCAACATGTAAAAAGGTGATTTTAATCTTGATTTTTGCCATAAAATTTTTCACCTTAAACAAGGAATCAATTACTAAATTGTAACTGAAAAAGTTCTCTATACGACTGCTTATTTGAGAAATGCAGACGTTTCATTCAAAAAGAATATGTTTGATAGAAAATAGGGTAATCTGACAATATAAAAAAGTACAATTGCTTTAATTCAGCGAAGACCCAGTGGTGGCAGCTGGAAATATTATATTCGCAGTCAGCGTACTTGACTGTAGTGTACAGTATATAACGGGTGAGCCATAACGGATGCCGGTCTCAGTATTTCGTTAATATTTCGCTCAGTTCTCATTGTCAAGGCTTTACCTTTTTTTTAAAAGATTCGTCATTTCTTTCTCTTCGTCACTTCATTCTCTACAAGAAGCATATTGAACATTTCTTTATATACCGCAGAAATGAAGCAAGACAGGTGAACTGCGAAGCTTCAATTTCCATTACTGTCTAGCCCAAAACACAACGAAAAGATATTTATTTTGAACATGGTACTATGCAACAAACTAGGATCAAAACATACGTGCTGGTGCACCGAAGTGTCATATTCCTTGTCATGTATCAGAGGTTGTCTTTGAACGTATTTTTCTGATACAAAAGGCAATTTTACTACAGTTTACCAAAAAAAAGGAAAATTTCCACCTTTTCGCCTTGTCAGTGAAATGAAATGGAGCTATCGAACCTCCTGTGTTCGGATGTAACAGAAGAATTCATCTGCTTTAAGATAAGACATGCCGAACCTCAAAATATTTGATTTCAGCCGATTTATAAAAGTTGTCACAGAACTATTCAGCTTAGAACGGGGATCTTTCTCAGTTGTTGAATGTTTAAATTTAAGCTCATTTATTTCTCAAAATAGTATTGAAGCTGTCACTTGTTCTAATGTTCGGCAGCTGACTGAAGACCATGTTGGTGGTTTTTGGAAGAACGACGGTACCAGTACGCAAAAATACCCCAAAAAATTTATTAAAGAGTGTCTTCGTGAGCTGCTGGGCCCGGTCACAAACCTCCATATCTATATCGATTCTTGTGAAGCATTGTTGTATTCGTTCGAATTTGTTCGGCAACTCAAAGATGAAGATCCAAATCTTCATACTGAATTATCTTTCAACGAAGAAGTAAAACATCCACCCTATCAATCAGCCGTCATTTTAGCATTTGAATGTAATCGAAATTATGTTTTGGTATTTGCTAAACTTGACGAATTTCGCGAGCACATGAACAACTGTACGTCATTGGAAGATATTCAGGCAAAAGTGGAATCATCCGTTACTTTGCCTATGCTGTCAGTTGTGGACAAGATGTCAAATGGCATCGAAATCTATCGTTTGTTTATGTAGCTGCTTTTCAAGGCTCAGCAATCAACCAAATTGAAGCACGTCTTTTGGCTGCAGGTTTAAGATATCAATTTTATATCAAAAAAATTGGAACAGGTCAATTTTGACGAACTGCGACAATGTCATACGAATGATGCTGTTATTTGTTTCAAGTTTGATCGTCATCTCGACTCTTTCTACAGAATTCTGCCATTGCGGTCAGAGCTACTTGATCAATGGATTTTTAATGAAGACACCTCGACATTTACAGGACCGATTGTTACTTTATGCCCGAATACATCAACATATACAATAGATCGTTATTCACGTCTTACAGTACGAACAGATGTCGGTTCTGTCATTTTCAATTCAAAAAAATTATAACGCGCCACGCTTATTTTTGCTGAAATTTTAATTTTATTTTTGAAATGAGTTCTACTTAATCCATTTTTATCCACTTTTTGCTCTCTCTAGTTAATTTTTGGTATATATGGTAATTCACTTACATTCTGGTTGAAATTCCACGTGTTTTGGTGTTACTTTTGTTGGCCAATAAGCGGCTTCAATGACAGCTGGGGTAAAAAAGACAGTAAGGAAAGGACGGAAAAGACAAGAGCCACCAGTCAAAAAGAAATCTGATTCGGTAGAAAATCTTCACTTACCCACCGATAAAAGTCCAGACTATGAAGAACTTGTTAGTGGCACGATTAAGTGTCAAAAGTTTGTCGATAGAGTCACAGAAATAAATAAATCGTTACAGCCACGTTTGCATTCGATGAAAGAAGACAAGCAGACAACGGAAGAATTTGCATCAGATCCAAATGTGATAGTTGTTAACAGAACGAAGAAGCGTAGAAGAGTGGTACCTCTTCCGTCTGCCACCAGTACCGATACAACACCGCCCGGTTCACCGGAATCTCTGCCACATTCGGAAAATGTGTCAACTGCAGCAGAACGATATGCTTGTTCTTTTTCTTTTCCACCGATCAAAATTATACCACTCACGACTAACAATCAGATGACCAACTTAACTGGATCTATTGTTACCAGATTTATTGACGAATTTCGTT